CCTCACTCCTGCACCTCAGTGAGTCCTTCCCTCCCTCCTACACTTCACAGTGAGTCCTTCCCTCACTCCTACACATCAAGTCCTTCCCTCACTACTACACATTGAGTCCTTCCCCTCACTCCTACCTCAGTGAGCCCTTCCTTCACTCCTACACCTCACAGTGAGTCCTTCCCTCACTCCTACACCTCACAGTGAGACCTTTCCTCACTCCTACACCTCACAGTGAGTCCTTCCCTCACTCCTACACCTCACCGTGGGTCCTTCACTCACTCCTACACCACACAGTGGTCCTTCCTCCACTTCTACACATCAGTGAGTCCATTCCTCCTCCTACACCTCACCGTGAGTCCCTCTCCTACACCTCATAGTGAGTCCTTCACTCACTCCTACACATCACATGAGTCCTTTCCTCACTCCTACACCTCAGTGAGTCCTTCCCTCACTCCTACACCTCACTGAGACCTCACTCTACACCTCACAGTGAGTCCCCTCACTCCTACACCTCACCGTGAGTCCTTCCTCACTCTACACCACACAGTGGTCATTCCCTCACTTCTACATCAGTGAGTCCATTCCTCACTCCTACACCTCGTGAGTCCTTTCTCACTCCTACACCTCATAGTGAGTCCTTCACTCACTCCTACACATCACAGCGAGTCCTTCCCTCACTCCTACACCTCACAGTGAGTCCTTCCCTCACTTCTACACATCAGTGAGTCCATTCCTCACTCCTACACCTCACCGTGAGTCCTTTCCTCACTCCTACACCTCATAGTGAGTCCTTCACTCACTCCTACACCTCACAGTGAGTCCTTCCTTCACTCCTACACATCACAGCGAGTCCTTCCCTCACTCCTACACCTCCCCAGTGAGTCCTTTCCTCACTCCTACACCTCACAGTGAGTCCTTCCCTCATACTACACAACGCTGCATGTCTTTCCTTCACTCCTACAAAACACAGTAAATCATTCCCTCAATCCTACACAACACATTGCATCCTACTCTCACTCCCACACACAGCAAGTCCTTCCCTTATCCTACACAACATTGCATGTCCTTTTCTCACTCCTATAAAACACTGCAAATACTCCTGTCACTCCTTAGTAGACCAGTAAGTCCTCCTCTCACTCCTTAGTAGGTCAGTAAATCCTCCTCTCACTCCTTAGTAGGTCAGTAAGTCCTCCTCTCACTCGTCAGTAAGTCCTCCTCTCACTAATTAGCAGGTCAGTAAGTCCTCCTCTCATTCATTAGGTCAGCAAGTCCTTCCCTCATTTACGAACATCACTACATGTCCTTCCCTAGGTCCTACACAACAAGTCCTTCCCTCATTCCTACACAATACTGAAGTCCTTCCCTCAATACTACACATCACAGTGAGTCCCTCCCACACTCCTACACATCACAGCGAGACCTTCCCTTACTCCTACACATCACAGTGAGTCCTTTCCTCACTCCTACACATCACAGTGAGACCTTCCCTCACTCCTACACATCACAGCGAGACCTTCCCTCACTCCTACACTTCACAGTGAGTCCTTCCCTCACTCCTACACATCAGTGAGTCCTTCCCACACTCCTACACATCACAGTGAGTCCTTCTCTCATTCCAATACATCCGAATGAGTCCTTATCTCATACTGTACACAACATTGCATGTCCTTCCCTCACTCCAATAAAACACTGCAAATCCTCCTCTCACTCCTTAGTAGGTCAGTAAGTCCTCCTCTCACTGAATAGCAGGTCAGTAAGTCCTCCTCTCATTCATTAGGTCAGCAAGTCCTTTCCTCATTTACTACATGTCCTTCCCTAGGTCCTACACAACACTGCAAGTCCTTCCCTCATTCCTTCACAATACTGAATCCTTCCCTCAATACTACACAATACTACATGTCCTTCCCTCAGTCCTACAGTAATCAGTAGATAAACCTTCAATACACCGTTATAATCTATTTTAGCATTTATAAAGACTTGTCGAACCAACAGTAAATATTATACACAATACAACTTCCTGTCATGTCGGGTAGACTGACGTATTTAGGATATATTCATCTTTTTTTGTACGCAGACATTACGAGCATCAATTAACCCCCTCAGTCACACGTACAGTAGCTCTCTAAGAGCCTCACACATATCCAAGTTGATAATCACAATAGAGCCACAAATAGCCTCTGGTTGGATCTGACTACCCCTGACAACCTTACATAGTCCTTAAATCCATTATACAACCACCTATGATCATCACACAGCCCTAATTAGCCAAACAGTCCGTGGCGGCGGCATATAAGCCCTGGGGGCCTCACATAGCTCCTAGGAGGGACATACTGCCTCAGAACATTTACAACAAATACAATCTTTTTTTTTACAATTTCAAAAGTTTGCCCACAGGAAATGCTCATTAGGTACAAGTAAGTTGTAAAGCTGTAATAATTACTTAATTTTACAGTAAAATTTTAAACTAACATCTTGTATTTCACTGCCAGGAAGAATAAAATATTTTATTTTGCAAATGAAGATGAAACTAAAGTCCAAAATGATTGAGTTGAACAAAATACTTCCTGACTGTCTAGTTACAAACCCACAAAAAAGATTACAACAGTGTATTAGAAGTTATAGGCTTCGCAACGCCACAAGTCTATATGGTCACTCCTAAACAAGTCTTTCCCTCACGCATACACAACAATACAAGTCCTTCCCTCACTCCTACACCACACTACAAGTCCTTCCCTCACTCATACACCACACTACAAGTCCTTCCCTCACTCATACACCACACTACAAGTCCTTCCCTCACTCCTACACCACACTACAAGTCCTTCCCTCACTCCTACACCACACTACAAGTCCTTCCCTCACTCCTACACCACACTACAAGTCCTTTCCTCACTCATACACCGCACTACAAGTCCTTCCCTCACTCATACACCACACTACAAGTCCTTCCCTCACTCCTACACCACACTACAAGTCGTTCCCTCACTCCTACACTGCACTAAAAGTCCTTTCCTCACTCATACACCACATTACAAGTCCTTCTCTCTCACCGACACAACCCTGCAAGTCCTTCCCTCACTCATACAACACACTGCAAGTCCTTCCCTCACTCCTACACAATACTAGAAATCCTTCCCTCACTTCTACACAACACTGCAAGTCCATCCCTCAATCCTACACAATACTAGAAGTCCTTCCCTCTTCTACACAACCATACAAGTCCTTCCCTTACTCCTACACAACACTTCATGTCCTTCCCTCACTCCTACACAACACCACATAACCTTCCCTCACTCCTCCACATCACTTCATGTCCTTCCCTCACTCCTACACAACACCACATAACCTTTCCTCACTCCTCCACATCACCACATGTCCTTCCCTCACTCTTACATAATATTACTTGTTCTTTCCTCACTCCTACAGTGTTACAGTATCTCTACAGTAGTCAGTAGATAATCCCCCCGCATAAAAAGTATAAATTTAAAACATTTGCAAGTAACCACGAGAAAAATGGAAGGGACGCGTTAAACTCGCTCTCTGTCGGGGGAATCGGGGCGACGAACAAAAGTGTAAGCGTGTCGGTTCAAACCGATTACGACGTGGAATAACTCTTTGCCGGTACCGAAGGGATTTCCTCTGCCGAGTATAATGCTCTACGCCTGGACGAATGTAATTACCCTACTAAACTTACAATAACACCGACGCACTATTAAACGCGACGTCTCCCGACCGCACGCTCGATAAAACCGGATGTAACTCCTTGACGCTTCCCGCCCGCCCCTCCTACACTCCTCTCATCCATCGCACGCCCTTCTGACACCTCGCTTACACTCGTCACATACCTCTACCACTTCTCTTACACCCATCTAACATTTAACACAGCCCTATAACACTCCATATACCCCAATAACATTACATACACCACCATCACACTTATCTACCTTTGTCCCACACTAATCTACTGCATCAAGACCACCCATCGCCCAAAAATTCACAATCTACGTCCTCGGGAGTACCTACGATGATATTTTCAAAACGCAAAGTAACCTCAAATGACAAATGTCCTGTCGAGGTGCAAAAAAGTTGGGATTGGATATGCTTCTCCTCGATATGCTAATAACGGTGTTGGTAGAGGAGGAACTCTTCATGCCGACGGTAGTATAGCGCGTTTGCTCTCGCCCGACACCAGATGCCCTGCCCCCTCCTCGAGAGTTACGGCCAGTTGGCTGTTGTAGACCCGTCCGATTTTGTCCCGCAGTAATGACATATTTGTAAATTGGTTTATTAATAACAGTTAGAATGATCATTTCTGCCGAGAAAGATATTTATGTAAAGTCTATAAAGATACAGTAGTACCCCGATTTACGCGGTCAATTGAACCCACGGGGGTACTGCGGAAAGTGAAAACCGCCCAAAGTGAACAATAGAACATATGGGATTAATTCCAATAGAGACTGGCCCGACCCCCAAACTCCACTTTTTCCGACACAATACCTATGTTGTAGTAAAAATAACATCTTAATTTTATGATGGTATGCTCAAACAATTAATATTTAAGAGAAATACAGTCGCCAGGTTAATGTCCATTCAAATAATGGACTCAAATCCCCCCCCCCCCTCTTCCCAGCTCACTAGCTCCTACCTCTCTGAGAAATGTTTGGGTGAAAACACTAGATTTTAACGTTTAGTAATAAATAATACCTCAGACTAAAGTTAGGATAATATAATTGACATTTCTGGATTCCTTGCAGGTCAGGTAATATTTTGAATGTAAACTTCATATATTTTGCACAAAAGATAAAATATTTGCTTTGTGTAAACCAAATTATTACATTAGATCTAAAATTTGTATGTCTAATGCAAAATCCATAAAGTTTATATTCAAAATGATCATCATATTGTAAGAATTCCAGCAATGTAAATTATATTCTGGCCGGGTAATTTGTATGAATTTTATGAGCTAAATAAAAAATAATAATATTATACTTCACCGCGTATATGAGTAAATGCACCGCGGAAAGTGAAAGTCCATTTCTGGCAAGGTACCGCGTAAATGAGAAATCGCGGAAAGTGAAACCACGTTAAGCGGGGTATTACTGTACTTACATTCGTTATTTCAAACATACGTGAATTAACTCTTAAAACTCTGCTAACAAATTTGTACTTTCGGAGCATGCATTTAACGTGTACTTATCTTTACCCGCAGCGAGTCGTACCGAAACAAATTACGTATCGGTAAAACTACATTATGCAAAAACTAACATTTTAAAACATCGGAATCGCATTGAAATATTACACGGCCCCCGAAAATTAGTAGACGAGCGTGACGGACTTTGTCCCGTCGGCAGAGGCGGGAAAATGTGAACTTGTTCTCGGTTGTGTAAAATTTCAATGTGATTCTCATCTTTTAAAATGTTCTCTTTACATTTTGTAGTATTACTGATACGTAATTTGTCATAGTAAGCCTTATTGTGGGTCAAAATAAGTACAGTATATATTAAATGCACCCTCCCAAAACGTCGACTTCCTATCGCACTAACAGTTAATTCGCGTACGGGATTTCTCGTAAACTTGCTACGTGCTCCTTTCTGAAATAATGAATGTAAGCATCTTTATAGAATTTACATAAATATCTTTCTCGGCAGAAATGATCATTCCAACCGTTATTAATAAACCAATTTACAAATATGTCATTGATTCTGGATAAAATTGGACGGATCTGCAAAGGCCAATCGCCGGTAACTCTCGCTGAGGGGGCGGAGCATCTTTTCTCGGCTGGGAAAAACGCCCTTTAGTGTTTCTGCTGGCAAACCTCATAGTGGTGGTGGTTTTAGAGTTAGGTAAGTATTCCTGGTATTGTAGGAGACAGTACGCGCATTACCCAAATTGCGTAGTCTCTTACAAACGACATAACATTACATGCACTATACTGTACTAACCAACAAAGTACACAATAAACTTCACTCTACGGTATAACGTCAATAAAGTAAACGATCGTATGTAATCTTTGAGTTACGCAGATATCCGCACCTCCGCTCCCCGTAACTCACAATTATATACGTTACAGAAATATCCCACAACTTCGTCTGACGATTACGGTAGTGGCGACCCCCGGAGTGCTTTTCGCTTTGCCATGCAGTTTTAGTCCACGGTAAAATAGTACAAAAAACTTGCTGCCTATCATTTCAAGTGTTTCGCCTATCCAATCATTAATACAACTTTTGCAAACCATTTTCTCCCGCAAAAATCGCGTCAATGCCACGGTTCCCAATCCGATGAAATTCAAAATGCTACAATGTATTTGCAACGTGTCAACAGTGCTAATTTTCTCGCCAAAATCTAGACGACTTCTTGGATAAATTCATTGTCGATAAGTATCAACTTGCACAATCGTCCTCCATCTTCACTTTGTCAGCATGGAGGAACAATATTACTTTCATTACAATTACTCTACTGTAAAACTAAAAAAAAAAAAACCTTGATAAATCTTAGAGCTATACAAATTAACATAATATTTACAACACTGTAACTCTACAGGAATGACACATGCATCACACACAAGTCATAATACAATAATCACAGAGATCTTCTACAAGTTCACAAACATATACAGTATCGAGAGGTATCTTTGTCCAAATGGCCGTTAAACACCAGCTGCACAATCTGTCTCCGCTCGTGTCTCTCGCTGTATCTGTCGACTCTGACCCGTAGCTGAAACAAACAAATTCCTGTGAAAATACATAACAAAATACTCATGCAAATTATACTAAATTCCTTGCAAACTTCAACTAAAATATCAATGTTCATTCTTTGTACACCTGTATACTCACCACACTGATAAACAAACTATTCCCATTCAAAACATACCCACTGCAATTTACATACTACTGTACTCTACTACCCCACAAGAATATCTCACATTTATTACTTCTCTACACAGGTGTAATGGCCCATTTCATAAACAGAAAGATTATTAAATGGGTTAATAACATTTGATTTATATACTGATTCACCACCTATAACTAGCTACGAGGTGACACGTTCAGTGCACGTGACGAGGTGTGCCCGCGGGAAGCTGCGTCATATTATGCCGAGTTAAGGCATTTAGTAGCCGGCCACATAAAGCGGGCGGTAGTTTGATATCCTCGACTAGAGGAAGACGTTATTTGAGAACCGTCGAAGATGGTTCCGTCATCCCTCGAGGGAGGACGACGTGCCTATTCCGTTCTCCCTCGATGGGTAACCACTCGTAGAAGTTCCGCCCAATCTCGCACGCGAGAAGGATGTGATTATTCGGTCTATTTGCATAGCCCCCGTCCTTCTCTTCACACTCGTAAATACTCTAAGTTCGGTTGATTTACACTCTGGAATTGTATCGACGGCAGTTCCTCAATAAAAGGAGAAACGGACAATTGGGTTTCGCTACTAAAAACCAATATAATATAAACGTTCGGGCCAATAGACGTAGGTGTAGTTCACGGGTACGGACATAATTCTATACTATACGGTATCACCTAATACCAAATCAAACTTAGAGAACAAAACTCCTCCACCCGTTGGAAGAACCGCAACGAATCGATGCGGAACGTCCATGCCCCCTCAAATGATAAACAATTCTGCAAACACAAACACACTTTCACCTAATAATAGACCACACCACAATCATCGACATACGGAGACAGCCCAAACAAAATGACGCACGATGCTCTTCTGATTAAGTGACCGACATCGCCTCGGCACGCGAATGCCACCGATAAAACGCAAGACGACACTTTACCGCAAGCGCTCGACTCCATACCGCCGATAACCGAACGTGGGCCACTGCGCTACGTCCGACGTCAGAAAACGCGCCTCCATTTACCGACGGGTACTCGATAAACACAATATAATACTAATAAAAAAAACTGTCCACTATATGACAACCTTACCTTACCCTACAATGAGTCCCCAAATCTGCTGTAGCAAGCATTCAGCTGCCTAAAACAGTTAACACAAAAACCTCCACCCAGTTTAAACCCACGAATGTTCTATTACCCGTCTTTTAATAATCGATTAATTTCGTATATATTACCGTACAATACAATTAAAACTCTTCAATAATAACTATAGACTATTGGTAAATTTGAACACAATAATTGCCACTGGACTCTCTATTTCATTTAACAGACTACGATCGACGTGATTATTACGCCCGGTGATGAACGTCGCCAAAAAACTTGACCCGCCCCTCCATATTTTCATCCTCGGATTTGCAATATTTGCGCGGGTCGAACCGGATCCTCAAAATCGGCCGCAAATACGACAAAATCCCACTCCTCGTCCACCTATACAACTCGTGATAATTACGTGGAATAATCCACTTAAATAGAGTAACTTAATTATAACGAGAATTCGTCGACGAAAATATTCAATGCACAATTAGTAGATTTAACCTGTAATACAGTACAACGTCGATTTAAACCGATTAAATATAACATTATCGATTTAAAGCGACACCCACAATTAAGGACAATGTTTTAATTTAACGCGAATCTTTCCTATTTTGTGAGAATCAATGTGTAGCGTCGTATTTTACAATTCGCGTCTAATGTTTCACTGGGCACGCTACACTGTCCTAAGGCCAAAGCTGTGCTCTACTGTAGATGTACTAAATGATTACTAACATTTGGGTCTAGTGCAAACTATAGCATAATTATATTCAAATTAATCACTATTTTAATAAAAATTCCAGTAATGTAAATTATATTCTCCACGGTCACTTCTGTGACAGTTTATAAACAAAAAACAAAAACTCAATCTAAAGGACATAAATAAATAATTCACTCCACCTTTGGCACAACTGTCAAACACGTCACCTCCCTCCCAGGGTTTGGTGGTTATAGGCTCTAAGTTATTATCTTATATAATATCACAGACTAGTGGTATACTGCGCACATCACTGTCATCCTTAAAATCTCTTTCATTCATATTACGCTACATAACATTCAAATCCACCGCACTTGTAGAGTCACGGGAAATGTCGGTAAAGGATAACTCGCCTACTGTGTGTTTTACACGAATTGTACCGAGGTACTGTCATATAATATTAAGTGTATGTGCTCATAGCATTAAGGAGAACTCGAGGTATCTATAGGATGATTGGGAAGGTTCAATTGATATGGACTAGTGTACTATAAGGGTAGATCGTGTTTGAAGGTCGTACTATTTACGTCTGTGAACGATCGGTGAACGTAGCCACCGCAGGTATCGGACGAAAATATAAAAGAACAATGATTCGGAAAAACAATAAATGTATCAGACCTATGTGAAGTGTTGGAAGTGATCCAGAAACTAAACTTCAAAGAAAATATCTCGTATGCCTCGGTGTGAGCTTAATACACCTCGTTATCTCGCGTGACGAATAACCACGAACAATGAGACGATCGGAGAATCTTATGACTGTGTTCGACGATTGCAACGTGTGAGGGGAGGATCCCTAATTACAGATTGAAGTGAAGTGGATATACCCACGCCACGAAAATAGACAGAGCTAGGCTCTGTCTAAGTAGGTTCCCGTTCCGCCCCAGGCTACAGTTTTCAGTTAATGATATAGCCCAATTAATTTCCCCAGGAACTGCCAAACCAGACCCTTACTTAAGTGTGTAATTTAGGATTAAGATATATAATTATAAGGCATAAGGTCACAATAGATAGGAAAGTGTATATGTGAGAACCAGAATAAAATCAAAGTGAAAATTAAAAATTGTAAACTGTAGGCCTAGTTCGGTGAGAGACACGAGGCATCTTCCTTAGTGATCCCCGCTCTTTCGCCAAAATGGGTCGGTGAACTCCATTGTGCTCCATTCAGCCCTAAAAGACTTATCTAGCAGTTTTTTACATCTAAAAACCTTGCCTGATGTTATAGTGAAGAAATAGTTGCACTAGTGTGTGGTGATAAAAGCCCATCGGGCCTTACTTAGTGACGGCCGCTCTCTCGCCAAAACAGGTACCGCACGTTCGGAGCGTCGGTCATTACCACCCGGGATAGGAGAAAATAATTGTATGTTTGAGAAGATTCGCGGTCGCTACGTGGAGCGACCTAAGAATGCCAGACGTGGAACCAGTACTGGTATGATTACCCGGGAAGTATCCCCTCAAACTCATCAAGAGTAGTGTGTGTACCTAATAATACCGAAGAGTTCCATACTTGTGGGTGTGAAGTGTACCCGGGATGTGGTCTTATGATATAACGTGTTGCTGTAATGCAACATGTGATGCTATACTCTAACAGGTGGTGCAGTCTGATGTGTTGGGTGTTATGGTAAGAAGGAATGACCGAGGTAAGGAGGTCAGTGATTATTATGAAGATGATAATGGCAATTATTTGATGTAAGACGTGTATTGATGTGAAGTGTAATGAAAATAATAGTTATTCTTCTGAAGGCAAACTCTTTTTGTATTGTGACGGGATGCAATATGTTTTATAAAGAATAAATTAGTTAAGTCATGCTTCATGTTTCACCCTTCTTCCCACTATCGATTTGGTCAATGAAAAACCCAACCCAATGCCAGGCTTACTCTGCCCGCTACCTAACGAGCTACGTACCGTCCAGGGGGGTCTGGTGGCAGCGACCTTAGAATTAAGAATAGAGTTAAGTTATCCCCTTAGAGTTAGTGACCCCAGAACTGGACAGTATAGTGGTAGCAGAATATAAGTTGCATTGCGAATAATTGAAATATAATTGTCATATTTTGCACAAGAGATAAAAATTTTAGCCATTTCTAATAAAATTAATTATAACGTCATTTTAGTAACATTTTATAAGAGAAAAACTTAGTCACTCTTAAGGATAGATAAATAAATAAGCACTAGACATATCACCTCACCTTCCCCCCCATCAGCTGATCACTAAGAAACAGACCATTTCACGTCCCATCATTTTAGCCGTGTTGAGTGTTTGTTTTAACATAATACTGTACTACAAAAACAATATTTTGCTTATTCTAAGGGATGGACTGAAGTGCATCTGGGTAGACTCAGTCTTTTTAGTATTTTGTGTTTCTCTCAAGTACCAAACTAAATTATTTCATTCAAACAACACTTCGATTTAGTGCCAATTCGGTTTAAAGTGACCTCTCTTGGAACGTATCTCGCGTTATATCCAAGTTCTACTGTATTTGATTATTTCATCGTTAACATCAAATATCGTACTGTAGGTACACAAACAATTCCATTATTAGCGTGGACTATTTACTATTTTCCTGTCAAAATAACAATATTTTCAACTTGACCTAAATTCACACACAATTCAACATTTATTTGTAAAATTCACTGACTTTTCCACACCAGTACACACCCTGGAGAGGTGGCTGGTGGTAGGTGAACAATACTAATACTAAAATAACTTCAACCTCTGTACTGGATGTATCACTGGTGTTACCTACCCTTACGAGCAGACGACGAGGCCGACCTCTGCACCAACGATAACTGTCGTCGCCTCGGTTTAGCGAGTGTCGTCCGGGGTGTTGGGTAGCCTCCCTCGTCCGCGATCGCCTGTAAACACAATCATCCATTACCGTACTGTACTTACAACACTCAATAAATATCCACAAAGTCTGTACAAAGTCTCCAGTACATGTATATCTTGTCCTCTTCAAACTGACAACAACAAAAATACTACTCATAGATACAGTAAAGAACAGTATAATCATCCCAGTTCATCTTTAACATAAAGCACTGAATGGTGAGAGCTTCCATCTTAAGTCCTTCATCACCACCACTGCTCAATAGGGTGTGTCATAGGAGGAAAGATCAGCTAAAACTAATGGCCCATCACTTTTTTGGTAGATTTTAGTGTATATAAACAGAAAATAATTTCAGTTTCAATATTTTGCAACCTTTTGCTAGGTAAATTTTAGCTTGAAATTTATCGAAAATCTAACGTACAGCTGCATTAGTGCATTACAATTAAATAGTGAACATTGCTTTCTGACTTCATTCTTTAACAACCCAACTAACAATATTTTTTTCTGTTTCAGATTCTGATGCATTTATAAGTTGATAATATTTGCGATGGCTGCTTGTGTCAGGACGAGGAACCAAAAATCCAGCCATCTCAGTCACTATCTTGGGTCTGGGAGAGAGCTCCTGAAGTAGGAGTTGCCTACATTGAGAGATGCTTTGAGATACGGTGTTTTAATCAGGCAAATCAGTGAAAAGAACCAAAGAACTTACACAAACAAAGACATTGCCAGTGATATGACCAAAGCTGTCTTGGCACAGTACACTCTGGCTAACGCTCAGTTCAAGCCTCCAGTCATAACAAGTCAGAAGAAGATTAGTGAGAGACTGCTAGCCAGTTGGGAAAAGGCAAGAGATATCTCTCTTGGGAGAGGAAAACTTGCAGTTAAGGACAGCTTTGCCAACAACTGGACCAGTTATTTGACATAATTACTTGCAAGTGCCCAATTGTTCTCTGTCCTGAGTTTTGATGCGATCGTGACTGTAAATCCGAGGCCCACATCTCCTGTATTTGCAAGCGTGAACTGAAGATTCCTGTGATCGAACTGGCATTTGTCAAAGCACAGAGAGAGAAGACTGGCAGTATAGGGGCTCTCATGATTTCTAGCCAAGATATTCCGGAGTCCAAGAGACAGGAGGCTGCCACAGAGAGACAGAAGAGGAGAAGAGTTGCCGAGGAAAAGAGACTTGAGAAGGCCCAGGGTGAGGTAAAAAAGGCCGATGATTGGAGTCAAGCTGATTCAGAGTTTAATGACTTCCCCATGGCTGATCCGAGTGCTGACCAGGAGAATGGTGACTTTGTCCCTAACCCAGAAAATAATGATCCCAAACCTTCCAGGCATAAGATTCGAAATAGGAAAGATATCCCGAGCATAGCTCTGGCCAGCATGCGACACCACACTGGTCTCAGAGAAACTGCAGAGATAGCAACAGCTGCCTGGATTGACGGTGGTTTGATAACACCTGATGATGTTCACCTGGTGATAGATCATAACAAAGGCAGGAGAGCTCAGGAGAAGCTTGTCAGTAACCTAGAAGAGGAGTTTGATAAGGGGATAAGAGAAAATGGAATCAATTGTTTGTTCTTTGATGGGAGAAGGATGACACTAAAGTGTTCATGAAGGTTGGAGATTCTGACAAGTTGTTCCCTGCCATGGTGAAGGAGGAACACTACTCCTGCTGCAGTGAACCAGGAGGGAAGTATTTGTGGCATTTCACTCCAGAGAAAGATGACATCAGGAAACCAGCTGAGATAGTGGCAGATAACATTGTGAACTGGCTCAGAGAGAGGAACGTAGACCAGACCCTGCAGGCCATTGGAGGGGACAGCACCAACACGAACACAGGGTGGCAAGGGGGGGTCATACAGTGAATAGAGCGGAAGATTGGGAGGAAGCTGGTCTGGATTGTTTGTGACCTCCACACCAACGAGTTGCCACTCAGACATCTGATCCAGGAGCTGGATGGCAAGACTCTTTCAAACAACAGATGATCTGGTCCTCTTGGCAAGATGCTGGACTCTGCCACTGAGTTAGAAATAAATCCGAGCTTTGAAAAAATCACAGTTGGCCCTCCACTCGTTGAGCTTGCACATACTGTCATTGACGACCTGAGTACTGACCAGTACAATGGTTACATGATTGTCTACTTGCCAAATTGGTTCAACACCAAGGTCAAGTCATTGTTCTCCGAAGGTCCGAGGCATGTTCTCTTCCAGCTTGAGCTCCTGAGGAGTCAGCCAAGGAAGGTTGTTCAGATTGTGGAGCAGACTGTGAGGAGATCTTCCTGGTATGCTCATCCCGAGGCAGTTCTGCAGACAATGCTCTGCAGTAAGGATGAGGAGGAGAGAAGAGTGGCAGTCAAGAAGATCTTGGATATGAGACTTATGAGAGGATCTGGGCATGACGAATCAGTTGGTGACAATTCCTTCAGGGTCAGGAAGACTCCTGAAGTCAATCTAGGTGCCAAGACCCTCACTGATCTCATAGATCTGGATAACATCCAAGCTGGCAGTGAGCCCCCTCTTACCTGCAGCCTCACCAATGTTCAAGTCAGAGCTTTCCTGGACAACCCCATGCATGTCCCTGCCTGGCCCTCACACACCCAGAGTATAGAGCGTTGTGTACAGCAAGTGAGCGAGGCCAGCAGTCACGTGTACAGCCAGGAGAGGAGGGAAGGCTACATCCGAGCTCAGGTGGTCAGCAGGGAGGTGATGAGTAGAAACAGAAGCAAGAAAGACATGTTCTCTATGGTGTGCAGCAACACCGGGTCGTAGTAGTAAAACCAGTTTTTGTATTTGATGATTTTGTTTTCTAAAGGAATATTAAATTTAATAAATGTGTCAAGATCATTCGTTTCACTATTCTGGATCATTTTCATCCTAATAAATTAACCTGATACATTTACTTTACTTTAAATAAGCTATTTAGTGGTGTTGGTAAAAGGGTGGGAATACTGAATTTTCATAAGATTTCAAGTTAAAATTTACCTAGCAAAAAATAAAAACTTTTCAAATCTGAAGATATCACATGATTCTGCACATAGAACTACATCATTAATACCATGGGCCGATTTTTCAAACTCAAAAAAAAAAAAATTCGCCTCCGTAGGGTCTTACTAAACTGTACAGTACAAATACGTGTGTCATATGACCTACAGTTAAAATAAATAATCACTCACAATATTAAAACACTTAAGACTGACTCATATATCTACCCTTCAATAGTTATAATACACTATTTACCTTCTGGTATTGCACTAACTACTGTACCAGAGGACTTCAAAATTTAAGTGTAGCATTACAGCTTTTTTAAATTTAAGTGTAGCATTACAGCTTTTTTAAAACTAATCATTTTACACTACAAACGAGTGCTACCAAACCAGGTGTTTCCCATACACGTCGTCGTCGGCCCTGTACGGTATCTCTTAATTAGTTATATTAATGACCCTCAAACAGTCTTCTCCTACACATATACTGTATCTACATCTCATCTAACAATGTCATCCCTCTACAGGAGGTGGGGGAGCCGGGTTCATTCCACTCGCATTTTACTGTAAACTTATCCTAATATACAGTTACGTACCCGAGTGTGTGTGTGTGTGTGTGCACTGGCCGGACCACATAACACATTTCACTTGCTACGGCTTGAGAGGGTCACGGCGCCATAATCACCTCACACTATTTGCAAATTTTGACCTGTAGAAAAAACAATAAATAAACTAAATTATTATGCTATTATACATGGACAGTAATGCTGACACAATAATTTCTTGTCCATATTCAATAATAAACAGCAACACCAACTGATATTCCAAAACTAATTAACACTTCCAAATGTTGCCTTGTAAAGACAACACCACCTTTACTCACATCAATCAACTAAATAGTACTACTAAGTAGATACATTCTTGGAGGATAAATATGAACAATGACTCTACATTCTTCTGATTTTCTTTCATCAGTCATCTTCATGTCTCATACAGGGAGGTGGATATTGTCTGCAATGCATCAAGTCATTATTGTGCATTTGCGTCCAGTTTGGTTAAATCTTTCTCCACGGTTTAAAAATTAGTCACGTCGGTAACTTTATAGATGCATACGCCTCTACGTAATACGTCCCGTTAAAACGTGACAGACGCTAATACGGGTTGTACCTCTCTAGTCCGCCACTAGCACCACTTTCACTGCTTTGTGGTCTCTTTGAAGACATATTGAAGGGTTAAATGTTGTACAGTAAGTTCTCAAATTTCCCAAGTTTTTACTTCGACGTTTTTCATTTGGACACAAAAAAAACCAACAGTACAATTTAAAATTTCAATGGGCTTGAGCGGCCCGCCAATGTTCGGACGTGCACAATTGTGTAAACGGTGTCATTTCTCTATGTACAAAAGATTCATTATTGTTTATTACCGAAAGTCTTTTTGATTGAATTAATGTTTATGTGTGCAAAATGAACAATACAATTCATTAATAATACGTAGAATATTAAAACACGAGGAGACAAGACGGCATTGTTTTCGTTGTTTACAAAACCAGTGACTGACTGGTTCTACATATAAAACTGAAAAAATAAGACCCTGGTTGTAGAATTAGTAAAATTAATATGGTTGTTTTAAGTAATGTTATTAATGTTAATAAATGGAACAATGGAAGTAGCTAACCATTAATGGTAAAGAAAAAAGTGAGATCGAGTATGTAAGTGCGCACAAGTGAAAACATATCGTCATTACTCTACATAAGAATATGAAAGCAACACTTATTACTGTTCTTTTAATTAATGTTTCTGAATTTAAAAAAAAATTCTACCCACCATAAAGACATAAAGACAGCCAATGTTGTTGTGTGTGTTTTTACTTGGATGACAAAGTTGCCAAGTCATCAGGTTCAACTCTAGCTGAAGCTGTAGAACACAAGAACTTTTCTGTGTTGTTTTTAGTTTTTATTTAACTTTATCTGTGTTATTTTCGTTGGTTTATATAGGATGTTGCTTTATTACAGGCAGTAATTCGCCAAAAAAGTAGGGTAAATAAGGCCAAATTTAGCCAAACATCGAAAGTACCAGACTCGAATTAATTTTCTCCGTGGGCAAACTAAAATCGTTCCGGACCACAGAATGCCGGACTAGAGGTACAACCTGTATCATTATAGCCACTTAACTACTGTATAACACACTCCAAGTGAAAAGGAGGCACCAAGTCCAAGAGCTTAACACAACAATGGGTGTATTATGCACCAATTACTGTACAATACATAAGCCAGCTTGCCTGACCACAGGGAAAGATCTGTCTCAAGAGTGTACAGGAGACCCTTTCATTAACCGACTTAAATAAAACTAAACATTCTTTAAATGCATCCATAGGGGTTATTTAATCTATGGTCTGTGCATGGTAAGAGGAACTGACAACCCTCGTACACTGCCTGGTTAAACATTTCACTTACTGACTCACCTTTAGTGAGCCTTAAAATAGCATCCACAAAAAAATATATACAGGTGTTCCTCTACTTAACAACGTTCAACTTACAAACTTTCACAGATACAAACATCATCGCTGAGGAAGGTTACCTGCCAGAACAGGTGTTTAATGTGGATGAGAATGGATTATTTTGAAGACAATTCCAGATAGAACAAACATTACCTAAGAGTGAACCAGGTTTTAAGGCTGCATTAACGGGTATAGCTGTAATAAATATCCACAATCTTTTCATTCTTTACAATATGTTTGGTGTCTACAAGAGTAAAGTTGGACTTACAAACAAGCCTCAGGAACATAAGTAAGTAGAGGAGCACCTGTAGGTTATTCTCACAAATTATCTTAATCACAAAGCAGTATTTTGTGAGTACCGACCATATCTGTAGAGAACGCACGGAATGTGTCGTCCCAAAAGCCACCGTGGGCAGTAACAGAGCGAGAGTCGACGGTTGTTCCACGCCGGATGCTCCTCGTATGAACCTTCCGACTCGGTCGTCTCCCAGGTCGCACTTCTGCTGCCGTTGCCCGAGGCAGCTTGTTCTGTGGGTTAAGTTTGTAATGTGAATAATGCCTGCGTCTGATAATTATACTGCACTACATCTTTACAACCATTGTACTGGCAGGGGTGGTGATCCTATGGCACGCGAAAACATCTTTTTATACCCCACCCATAATAAATAAATACATACATAAATAAATAAATACATACATACATACATACATACATACATACATACATGCAGGGTAGAAACAAAATGAATTCACATAAATAAGCAACAAGGCTCCCCCTTTCTTCCAAAATGAAGGTCCATTATTATTGTCACGTAATTCATTAATTTTACCTCTTGTGAATTACTGTACTAGTTATAAATAACATGTAATTTCTAAAGCTGTCCCATTTAGAACATTCAGAAGAGTTACTGGTTGCTTAAACAGACTTCTCTAAGAATGCTTTCAAGCATTTTGCTCTTTCTCTCCATAAAAATTTTGTAACATAATAAAATAATAATAATAATCTTCTGCTCAAAATTCCCACGGGCTCACGAGAGAATGATTCAGAATATTATCGCCATTTTAGGCATGCGCTCTCAAAAAGGTTCGCCACCCCTGGTATAGGATATTAACAATCTATCATAATGCCCTTATGCGAGATCATGCTGATAACTTTCATTTGTATGGTGTACTGGTAAAGTGTGTTGAGTAGCCAAAGGTGTGTCTAGATGTATGTGTGACAAGTGTGTCCTGGGGTAAGAGGACATGATACAAGTACTGTACAATCACAACTACTATATTGATACAAAATGGAATACATTATACTGTACATAAAACTAAGTAAACAACAAGTTCTTATGTTTCTATAAACAACGATGAACTCTACAAATACGTACTGAATAATGACCATATCTTACTTGGAACGACATGCACTGACCGACGGAGGCGAGAGCGGACGGACACTGCCACCATCGGCATACCTGGGACTCTGTACGTTGACTGAAACAAATTGGTTAAAAATCTTCAAACCTATTCATTAAATGTAGGAAGAGTAAAGCAACATTAACCCCCTAACATCATTATTGGATATTATAATTCACCTTTCTTCATTGTCATCAGTCCTATGTATGTAACAGGTGCTTCTCCATATACCTACATTCTTTTCCAGCTTTTATTAGTGTAAATACCATAAGGAAAGTGTAAATATAAACACATTACCTTCTCCAAATTATAACACAAGTAATGAGTACCTGAGTGATTGCTGTTCCAGGGGATGATTATTTGTGATGGTATTGACAGACAGGAGAGGCAAATGGGGATAAGTATTACCATAAATGTGGCAGCTGGGGATTTGCTTCACAGATTTCATCGCCATACACTCGTCCTCCCCAGAGAACGTCGATGGTGACTGCAAAGAACAGCTTTGGATAAAACATATCGCTAACATAAAAGGAGAAACGCACCAAACTGACTCGGCACGCTGGTACAGAATATATACAAATGTTTCGTAAAATACCAAGTTGCAGAGGCTTCATCAATAACCGAGACAGTCTGCCCAAACTTTTCAATTTGCCTATCAAAGGCCTGTTAGAGGAGAGAAACAAGGTCAGCAACAGTGCCATGAATGGAAAATGTCAACTTATTTTTTCACCTTCCTGACAGTAATTATACCTATACCTTACACAACAAAACACACAATCAGTACTACTCTATGTACCAGTGTGTGTACTACAGTGATATCCCCATCACCCGGAACAGTCGGTGCAGAGCACTTCCAGGGACGAGAGATTTCATGGCGGGGGATTGGCGGTCTCGTATTACCGACCTCCCGATACGATGTCGGGTTATCCGTCATCGGGTGAGGGATAACTGGGTCTCGTGGCCTGAAGATGTCTTGAATAAAGACAAAAGCTAAGGTTCTCTAGTGTTTCCCACTTACGGCTCCTCCCAGACTTACGACGGGTTAGGGACCCAAATCCAGGTCGTAAGTCGAAAATGCTTAAATAATACATAGAAAATCTAAAATGGGTGTCTCTTTTTCTTCTCAGCGACACAAAACTCTCAATTTTAACCTTGCCAGATATTTCAAAGTGAATTACAAACGAAAAATTTATCGGTACACAGCGCGATCACTGACGCGTAAGTCGGGGAGGAGCTGTATACACAACTCTTATCATTTTTTTCATTCTTAACACAGCTTCAACACTGTATTCTTGGCTGATTTTGTTCTAGTACAGTAATGTACAGAACTGCAGAACACAAATTGTAAACAAACACGGCAGTTAGCGAGAGAGCGACCTTCTACAACGGCAGTAGACTGTGAACCCGGCGATCCTAACGGCAACGCCCCCACACTCCCGGCACGTGGGGACGGGTCGGAGTGCGACACGATCTCTCCGAATGCCCCCAAAATTTATTTCTGGACCCAGAATGGAGTCTTCTGAAGAGTCACCAGAATTTCTCTCGATACTTTCTAGAAAATGTGCCCGATTTTCAAACTCGGAAAATCGTTCACAAACCCGGAATTGATAAATTTTATAAAGTAAATCTGTGTATAGAGATAACTGCCATGTACTCTGACTTATTTTCCCCTTTTGCTAACTTCTGACTGGCTATAAACAATCAAGCAGATCATCAATATACATTTAATCAATAACATTATACAAAACCTAACCTAACCTCACCTACTTTAGCTACAATTTCCCAAACATAACATGATAAACAAACTCTTAAATGAATCACAACACATTACATATAAAGAGTAATTCCCATCGACTTGTAGCACTAAAATTATAAAGTTATTCCTATCTAACAAAAATTTGGGTTGCTATTTAAAGTTTAATCAGCAATTATCCTACTTAACATAACGCCCACAAACAAGTACCGTATTTTATGGCATGCGAGACGTATTTTTTTCGGAATAATGGCTCCAAAATCTTCCCGCGTCCTATGTGTGAAGTTGCGGTCTCCCGTAGGCTAATGAACCCCTTACTTGCTGTCTCCGGTAGGTTAAATTCTACCTAACACAATACCAGAATAAATACTATATTATTGCTTACTTAAAAACATTATTATTTTTACGTCTACAAATACCCGATACAAATAAAGATTTACAGATAACTTTCTTTTCACATTTGCGTCTGTTAACGTCATCGGTGGTACTGTAGCCGAGCTAGACTCCTCGCGAGCCGCCGGGCTACTGGGCCGAGCTGCGAGGCGTTACGGTTATTTTTCGACTCATAATTTTGCATTTGTTTTTACTATTTTACATGTACTCAATCTTACAGAAAGAATGTACAAAATAAACAAGATAAATAATTATCATAAAGTCCAATACATCACGGGGAATAAACTTTACGTGTGTTAAGAGGAGCGAGGTATCTCGGCTGTTCTGAGCCGTCTCCCGTGTGGAGGGAAACGACACCATTAACAAAATTCGCCCAGCAAGCAAATGGCAATACTACATTATTTTTGTCTTATATCGCCGTGCGTCTTATATGGCCGTAAGATACGGTAAAACGATGAAAAATATACACGAATAGTTATCCCTGAGCAACTGACCGCCGGGATGACAGGATGGCCAATTACAAGCCAAGATGACACAAAGGATTCACAGCTATCTGACACTTCACACAGACCAGGAAAGTCTCCCTTGGCTAATACGAGTACCCATTAATCTTGGCGTAGCGACTCGTTGGTGGTAGAGCTCGGAATTTTTCATAAACGACGTACAGTCCTAATCTATTATCATCTTCCAATAAGACGACTAATTATAAGATAATTTTCTTCTATTACATCACCGTCACAAATGTGTAATAACGGACAATGTATCCAAAATTTTCTCTATTTTCTTCCATTAATCATCCGCCATTATCACCTACCTCACCTCCCACACTGAGTATCTCCTTCATAAATCATCACACGCATACATTCCCGTACACGTCATGCGGCCAATCAAAAGCGTTCTTTGGGGTACAGCCAATTAAAATGATTTGTGGTTTAATTCATGAAATTTTTGGCCCAATCAAATTTGATTTTTATTTTGGGTCTCTCTCTCTCTATACCCCCGTTAAGAGAGAAACAGCGTCACCAACCTGTACTAATCTCAGAATCCAACGACGAACCAGAACCAGGCCAATAAGGTAAGAAATAAGTGATTCCATCATATGGCGACAGTCAGTTAAGTTGGGTTAGGTCAGGTTTATGTTTTTATTGTGTTTTTTTGTATTTGTTTAGCCATAATTTGGTAAATTTGCATTGTCACACTGTTCACTTTTAGCAAGTAAAAAATATATTTTTCTAGTGTATTTGTGTGTGTTGAGACCGAATATGACCTTCATTTTTGACGGAAATTAGCCGGGTTTTTTTTTTTTTGCAATTTTTTTTTTCGTTTGACGTTTTCCGAAAAAAAACTGGCTAAGCGACTAAAAAATACACAAAAAAACACTAGAAAAACAAAAAACTAACCTAACTTAACTGACTCTCACCATATGATGGAATCACCTATTTCTTACCTTATTGGCCAGGTTCTTGTTCGTCGTTGCATTCTGGGATTCTTACACGTCACATATGTTGGTCTTTGCGATATTTACATTCCGTCTTGCTCTTAGTACACTTTACTGAGGTTGGAAGAACGCCATGCGATCGAAAAAATGCTATAGTTTCTACGTTTTTTCCCAAAAACTCACAATCAGCTCCATATAATTTAAGTGACTCCAATCGCAGACTGCCATGGTCGGAACTGAACTTGAATTTTGAAATACGAGACCCAAAGTAAAGCTCGAATTTGATAGGGCCAAATATACCTCGAATTAAACCCAAAATCATTTGAATTGGTTTAAAAAACAAACACGCTTTTTATTGGCCGCGTGACGTGTATGGGAACGTGTGATGATTTATCAAGGAGACGCAGGAGACAGCAGTGTTGGGGGAGAGGCAGACGATAATGGCGGAAGATTAATGGACGAAAATAGAGAAAATTTTGGATGTGTTATTTCCGTTATTATACATTTCCGGAGGTAATGTAATAGATGAAAATTATCTTATAATTACACGTCTTATTAGAATATGATAATAAATTAGTGGTAGGAATGAACGGTGTGTAAACGCAGTAAGACCCATAATTTGCGTCGGAAAATGCCCCACCAAAAAAACACAGAAAAAAACTTCCAATTTCCGACGAAAATGAAGGTCATAACCAGTCTAAACACATCAGAAAAACATATATTTTACTTTCTAACAGTTGTGTGCACTAATTTACCAAAAATTCATTCATAACATCAAAAACCACAAGAATAACATTATTTCAACTTTGATGTCGTATAGTGGTAACAAGTGAAAATATACCGATACAGTCTGTCACCACCACACACCCAACACAATCGACTAAATTAACCAATAAATGCACTTTTTCCCACCCAAATAATACCCCAAAAACTACTCAGTAATATTTACGTTACATATCTGATATAATATTATTAATAAATGTCTTACCAATACCTCAGGCGGATATTTTCAGGGCTGTCAGGTCGTATTACACATGTTCCGTCCTCCAGCTTGTCCTTGTGTGGAGTGGCTGTCCTGTTGGTGAGGAACCCCCAGACCCATCAGACGAGAAACTCCCCCCTGTACCCTGTGATGAAGGGGTTTAGTGATGCTGTTAACTCATAGATGGCACTCACCTTCATTATATCATCCCTTATTACTTATTGATGATATAAACAGCCTTTTGGATAATCATTTATTACCATCTAAATAAGACTATATTAGCATGTTGTAGAGTCTGTGAAAATATAATGAGCTTTTGGTGGGAAATAACTGAAAAATATATGGAATTCAAGAATTTATCAAGAAAGAAAATGACTTCTTTATTGGGGAACTAAAGAAAATTATAGATGTATTAACTACAAATTTTGAAGTATTCTCACTAGCAATACTGTACATTAATAAAGCCTATATGTTGGTGGTACTTATATACTGCCTATGGTCTGTTTCCAAAGATAAAGGCCGCTGCTTACACTGTTAAAGACGCCAATGAATTATATAGTAGATTAGGAATATACAGAACAGTGGCGTAGCTAGAGTGTGTGCCGCCCGGGGCGGCCCTTGAGTTTGCCCCCCCAAAAAGTACATATTGCACAGTGACATTCGACATGCGCACCGTGAAACGTCAACAAAGGCTGTGAGTGAGCTCTCCCTACAATTCCTAATTCTGATGAATTTAGTGAGACGACTACCTTCAGTCTGTTTAGAGAACTAAAGTGGAGCCCAGTTGTAAGCACAGTGTCGCTTGTGAAATTTATAGTTGTTGGACTTAGACAATATTTTAGATAAAATATCTGGACTTCCTGCCTGGACCCTCTGGTCGGTTATTTTCGTATCTGCGCATGCGCAGTGCGAAGAGC